GCCAAGATACTAAAAAAACTATGCTCCTTGGTTGACTTTGCCAAAATATTTTTCAGTGTGCTATTTAAGTGTCATAGTTACGTTTAAAGTCACTAGCTCTGCATACTTTACCACTATTTTATTAAGATTTTCAAGAAGATGTCACAAATTTATTTGGCTAACACCAAAGCAATACTTTGCTTATAACTAGCTGTTTTAACTGTGACTTACAAACTCACTTGCCTAGTGTAAGTAATATAAAAATATCTTCATTTTGTTACCTTTAATTCAGTGACAATTTGGATTATACATACAAGGGGTGCATGTATTTTTTTCTACTCATATTATTCAGCCTATGGAATAAATCAGAAAATTATTAGTTTAAAAATTGAAATTATTTTTTGATGTTATATTGGTCTTGTGTATAATGTATTATTCTGATGCAGTGTACAGTCCACAGGAGTTTTATTGTTTTAAGTACTCTATCTGATCATAAATCCACTTACAAGATACTGGGCAGTACCTTATTGCAAAATTATTGGTATAGTGTAATTACACTAACAGTATACGAAACATCCTTCTTCCTGCATGCAAATAAATACATGCAAGACTTCAGATGTTCCAAGTAGTCTGTATCTGATTTACCTACACCACAACAAAATTCAGTTCATGTTATTTTCAGTTACACCTGCTAATTTTCAAACAGATTTCTAGATTTTTTCACAATCTACACTTTGAGTAAAACAAAAATTATAGTTATTCTGTAAACAATCACATTTCTTTATTATGTAAAATATCACATCAAGCTTGCATTACCACACTCTCACAAACTCTGGTGGCTTTCCTGAACCACTACTACTGTTTGTGTTCAACTGACCTCGACTGCTTGACATTTTTATGAACTGAACATAAACACATTAAAAACAGCTTAAAAGACAAATTAATCAATTTTAGAGATAAAAGGCAAAATTAAAGGGTTTAAGGTCATGATCTGGGAAAACGAGTCTCTGATACTAAATTTAGAAGATACATCTAAAACAGTGACTCTGTAACCTCTAGAACAATTTCTCCATCATGTTTAATCTACACCATCAGGTAGTTCCCCTAATACCTCTTTCTCTCTCAGGCTGAAAGTAAAGCCTTCCCTTGGTTTTGGTGTGACATTTCTAATTTTTTATATGGCAATTAACATACTAGTTAACATTCAAGATCTGAACCACAACACCAACTAGATAATTTAAACCTTAGTTCAAGACATGTCCTTTATTCCCGCATTTCTGACTAGAAAATGTGATTATTTAGTTTCATGTTACGACAGCTTTCCATATAAAAATACAAACCTACAAAAATTTTCATATTTATTATATTTTTACTAAGATTAAAGTTGGTTTTAAATAGCATAAGAGAAGGCTTAGCTTCTGTATGTGTGCTTCAAACAGGAATGCAACTACAGAATAATATTTAGACAGACTAATATTTATATATCCAGTACATGAACAGATCTAAAGTCAAGCCAGCACAGACTGGAAAACTTTGAATTGTTTGAGCTGTGTGAAAGGTACGTAACAAGACTGTCTCTGGCTGCAGATGTTCATCTGAATCAAGTCCTGCTTGCCACCAATAACAAACAATCATACTTCGATGTAACCATCTCTGCTATCAGGAGATCTAACAATTGCTCAGATCACAGAGCAAGTTCATTAACAATTACTAAGTCTGTTATATTTTGGACATACCTACCGAACAACTTTCTTTTTTATGGTGTATCTGATCCTTGCTAACTCCTGAAAAATTAGTCTTGCCAAAACAAACATTATTTGACTGTTTAAGTTTGGCAGACCTATGTGTTCTGCCATAAAAAAACCACAAAAACTCCTAGAAAAAGCAAGCTAATAAGAAATGGTACCTCGCGATTTAAGCACTAATAACTGTTACGGAAGAGAACAAAAACCTTCAGCCATTTCAGCCTTTTCCACCGATTTAGAAAGAAATGAATTCCTTTCAGGAATTCAGAAAGAAAGGAACAAATTCCTATGAGAAAAAGGTTGTATAATACTGCCACAGTAGCTGCCAGGCAGAAACCACTAGTAGAGACATTATCTACCTCAGCTCTACAAGGATAAAAGCTCAACATGATAAAATATTTCATTTATCCAAGTATAAATCACTACTGATATACTGAAACTCTAGTGAAGAATGCTGAAACAACAGAACCAAATATTAAAAACAACTTGGTAAGGAGTACCATCCAAACAAAATTATTTTTAAAACTGCATGAAAAAGATAGAAAATATGAAAAGATACATCTAGGACCTAGGTACTACTAGCCTTACCAGCAAACCAGAAACTGGTACCCCAGAAAGCTAGAAGCCTTCAGAAGGATTGGTGAGGTCTGACAAAATAAGCAATAGCACATGAAGTCTTCAGATAATATCATGGGAAACAAGAATAACTGGATTTATGGATTAGCAGGAATTGGATTTTGTATGTTTGTGATGCATGTAAGAAAAATATCATATATGGCCTGGGCTCCACATTTTACTGTGAAACTGGAGACAGTGCAGAAGACAGCCAAAAAATTTAAATAGCCACAACATTCAAGCTGAAGAAATCGATCAATTTAAGTTTTATCAAAAAGAAGACTTCCCTAGGGTTGGTGATAAACCTAGGGTAAAGGGGAAGAAAAACATAATTTGAACAAACATCTGAAACTGAAGCAAGAAAATTCAAACTAGAGAAAAGGAAGAAAAAGTAGACAGACCAGCAATAATAGCAGAAATAGCTAATTAAACTACAAAAGTATAGTTACTATTCCAGTGAAATCAGACTATGTTGGGAGATTTTCTGGAAGATGAGCTTTAACTGACTCACTAGAAAGATAACTGAAACGTTTGTGTTGAGATGTTATTCCCCTATCACAAAAGAAATCTAATCAGATAGGAAGCAAAGGAAGCAAGGCACCTGATGTCATGGTTGATGTGCAGTATATTCTTGTAAAGATCACGTTATTTTGAACATACTGAATCTGATGGATACAAACTCTCATCAATTTAATATTCAAGTTGGTACATGAGTAAGTTAAAAAAGGAAGCACTTTTTCCCATGACTATCTAGTGTAATTGTTCTCTCTTTCACTCAGCGACACCCTCAGTGACTACAACAGTATTCATTTCCATTTTAAAAAATATTTAACTATTGCCTAATGTAAAAATTCAATACTACTTTAGCACTCAAAGTGAAGACTCTCCCACCACCACCAACCTTATACACTTTCAGAAGCTGTACTAATTTCTCTAAAGCAGGGAGACAATCCTTTTTTTTTTTTCTTCTTCTTCCTTCAGCTGGAAGAAAGAGTATAGGACCCTGGGGACAAGGTGGAAGACATCTGGAAGATCTTGATTTGAGTCACCATCAAAAAGATACCTTAGCTTTGAGAACACTCTGAGGTCCATTTGTCAAACTCAGACCTACAAGGTCTGAGCAGCAGAGAACCAGACCTACAAGGTCTGAGCAGCAGAAAACCAGACCTACAAGGTCTGAGCAGCAGAAAACCAGACCTACGAGGTCTGAGCAGCAGAGCAGCAGAACCTGACACAGCTAAAACTCTGCAAACCTCTGAATACCATACTAGTTCTTCATAGTCTCCCAGAATGAATCCGGGGAGAAGTGCTTCTGCCAAACTCATTACATGTGCTTATCTGCCTAAAGCTTGTATTACATGAAGAGCAATTCTGCAAACTCAGATCTCAGTCAGACTCTGCCACACCTAAAGACAATGGGGCTTAAACCCAGAAGAACCTTTGTGAAACTAGCATATACAAGCAAACTACTAACTCACAGCATGCAACTCAGTCAGTACTAGACATTCAAAAGCACAGAAAACACTGACAAGCCCCTCCCAAAAGTAAAGTCATTAAACAGGATAGCAATCAAAAAACAAAGTCACAAAAAAATAAGATGTTTGGAGATAATGTAGAGAGTCAGCAGTTTCATATTTGTGATCCACTGGAAAACAGATTTGGAACAACAAGCCTTTCTTTTAAATTCATTAGCACCTGAAATGTGGCACTTGGGAAGCTAAAAGACAAATCCAGCCTCATACCACTGAGAGCCCGAAAGAAGATATGGAGAGACTCTGTGTATGTGCGTGCGCACATGTGCATGAGGAAGAAAAAGACAGTCAGTTTAATATCTAAAGTTCATTTGAATCCATCTTTTAATACACATATTCAACCTGTTTTTCCAGTGATAGAGTGACACATCCATAAAATGCATGCTTGAATTATTTTACTAGGGGTCTCAACACCTTTTCACGTTAAACTCTGGGTAACTAAAAATTTCAAAGCATTCTTAGACAGAAACATATTTTATTTATTTCAAGTATGCTACCCTGTCATTCACTCACTACTTCCTAAAAGATTACAAAGAGCATTAACCATGCACACACAAACAGTCATGTGTTACCTAGTAGAACAGTTCTGACCTGCAACGTGATTTGGCATTTATAATATGCAGCATACGCATAACATCACCAATCTGTTTTGCAGGGCTGCATCAGAATAATTCAGGCTATTTCCAGCTCCTGCTGTGATGTAACTATCCAAATTTAACTCTGTGAAAGACGACTTCCAGGTAAGTACACCCTCAAATTATTCTGAAAAAACACGGCAATCATCTGATAATAATACTGGTTTCACAACCGTTCCAACAGGAACAGTCTTGCAGCCTGGTGCTAATTACTTCTGATACTGATTACTTCTGAAAGAACAGGGAGATTAGCATTTCAGCTAAAATACCACCATTTTTATGAGCTCTGGATTATTAAAAATCTTTGTTGCATTAAGTGGAATTTCAGTCCTTCACTAGGAAAACCATTATGTGTTTACTTACCACAGGCTTTACAGGCAACAGCGCAAATCTCTTCTGCAACATATTCTCCAGCTGAAAACTGAAGGTAATCTCCTCCTGTCTTCCCAGGAGAATGATAAAGGTACACTTGAAGCAATGGTTCTGTCTGCTTGGGTGCACTGGTATTCCCATGGATGTCACCATTCTGGCGGACAGTGGAAGCTGCTGTACCTTCCATATTTGTCATTGTAAGGCAGGCCATTGTTTGTTTTGGTTCTGTTCAGAGCATTTGCCTAAAAGAAATGCAAGGAGTAATTCCTGACTAACTGTATTTCGTTTTACTTCTAATGCTCCTATTTAATGACAGTACCATTCTGATGCAGGAAAAACATTAACAGCTGAGGACAAGAGAATGGCCTAGAAGGTTTACCAGAAGTTGAGTTTCTCTTTGGTTTACTATATAGCCCTAGTTTGAAAGATAACAGACATTATGACAGGAAATACAAAGATAATAATTGGGAGTTCAACTAGAGGATTTATTACCTCTCACTGGATTTTACACAGTGTGTGCTCACCTCTCCAACTGAAACACGTCAGTTAAACCTGAAAGCCAAAATAATCCCTTTAATGACATCCATGCAACTCATTATAGCCCCAGTTTAAACTGAGACTATAATGCACTGAGAATCTACAAGACAAAACAACTATCTAGGTCACAAACTGGCACTCACGAAGAGAAGGGTAGGAATGGCACCATTGAGCTGAATTTTCCTTCTATGCAGACACTGAAAACATGTACTGAGGTAAGACTCTTAAGCAAGCAGGCTTGTTTTGTATCTCTGAATGAGGGAACTTCCAAGACCTCCTCCTTTCAGAATAATCACTTAAGTCAATTCATAAGCAACTCATGCTAAAAATACTCTGTGATAAATGTAATGAAAGAAAGAAAAAGACTAATAACTCAATATATAACCACATGTATATTTGATAATGAAAAAAAAACCCAAGATTTGTTTTGATGGTTTGTTTTTTTTTTTAAGTGAGATTGACAGCATATTCCAAAAGCCAGTCAAAGAAGGTCTTTGCTGTTCTGTGACTCCACCATAATTTCAACCAGTATAATTAATGTTTATAATAAAAGCTTTGACAACAGTGTATAAAGCTTTCTTTTATTAAAACTGATTCCAAATATCTATCACCTAGAATTCAGCGTTTCATATTTTGAAAATACAGAATAGGTCTAAAGCCACCAGTTACAATGATTTGATTTTTTAGTATCATAGAATGGTTTGGGCTGCAATACGGTATCCCTCTTTTCTCCAGGCCAAACAGCCCAACTCTCTCATCCTTTACTCATAGGAGAGGTGTTCCAGCTCCCTGATCATTTCTGTGGCCCTCCTCTGGACTCAATCCAACTGATTCATGTCTTCCTTGTACTGGGGAGCCCAGAGCTGGATGCAGGACTCCAAGTGTGGTCTCACAAGAGCAGAGCAGAGGAGGAGAACCACACTCCTTGACCTGCTGGTCACGTTTTTTTTAATATGATATAACTGGACTTCTGGGCTTAAGCCCACATTGCCAATTCACGTCTCATTTTTCATCTACTACTATCCCCAAGTCATCCTCTGCAGGGCTGCTCTCAATCCACTCACTCCCCAGTGTGTACTGATACTGGGGACTGTTCCAGCACATGTGCAGGGCTTTTCACCTGGCCTTGTTGTACTTCATGAGGTTTACATGTGCCCACTCATCAAGCCTGTCAAGGTCCCTCTGGATGGCAACCCTTTGCTCACACCCATCAGCTGCACCACTCAGCTTGGTGTCATCCCCAAACTTACTGAGGGTGCACTCAATCCCACTCTACGTCACTGATGAAGATAGTCAACAGTTAAGGACATTGAACATGAAAATATTACTGGGTTTTTTTTTTTGGGGTGAGTTTCTAGGGAAACCTCCAGGACTAGGATCTTAAGCCAGACCACGTCAAACATACAGCTTTGGAGGTTCAAAAATCAGAGCATCCTCTTACTAAGATAAATCACCAACTGTTAATTACCTTTTGTCACTTGAGAAATCTCTGTATGAAACATGAGAGTGATGAAGCCCTTTAAGTAAGCACATCACAAGTCACCCACTTGCTGCTGGTATCCACAGGAGGTCAGGCAAAGCAGGCACACAAGCAGTGGTGGAACATAACGTACCTGCAATAAAAACACACAACATGAAAAAAGTTAATGGCTGTGAACAATACATAATGCATCATTATTTAAAAACTCACATCTGTGTTTAGCTTCAGATAAAGTGATCCATTCCTACCTGATTTGCCCATATTCTTGTCTTTGCCAAAAACTTTTTAAATTTAGGTCTTTTAAATACAAAGTTACAAAAAACGAACACATTTTTGGTACTCTCAGAGACTGGTCCTCTGTTCTAGAAAGAAATTGGTGTATGAGACGTCTGACTTGAAATATAATTACCAACTTTTTTTGCACTCCCCAGTTTTTTCCTGTGAAAACAGCATCAAAGAACTGACTGATGTCATTACATGAAGAAAAGTTAAATGAAAAAGTAATTACAAAAAGAGATGCTATGGTCACTTCATGTAGTGAATTCCCTTTAGCCAGAACAATTAATTTTGTTTGAAAACTGGCACCAGACACTGTTCAATTCGTGTGGAAGTTAACACCAAGTGTCCTGCAGCAGGAAGGACAAGGGCACACCCACCCTCGCTCTCTTTGCACAACACTTCTGTGGTTGCAGGAAACACCATCTGAAAGCAATTAAGCACAACAGCAGCTCCCTGGACCATCAAAAACTTGATAAATTCGCTGTTGTGACTCTCCCAACACAAGAAAGGCCTGATAGAGGAGCAAAAATTATTTTAAAAACTGAACAGAGGGGAAATAATACAATGGAAGTTCAAAGGTGACAGAATTCAGAATCAGAAAACTCTGCAAGTTTTGTATCTAATGACTCTTCAGCCAGAAATCTCCCGGGTCAGGAGAGAAAAGAAGGAAATCAATACAATTTCATCAGCACCATGTGTTGTGTCTACTGAGTCTGTCATCAAAACCCCAAGACAAAGGCACCCATCTCAATGAGCAGCAAATTCAGTTTCTTTCTCTGCAGTAGTCAGACTGCTATGGCAATGATCAGCGTTTATCCTCTTGCAATAGTGACGTTAGAGATAAGCAGTTCTGCCTTGTTTGGACAGCTGTGTATTTTGTATGCACCTCTGGGGATTCTCCTTCAAATGCTGTCTAGCCATGCAATTAAGATCCGATCCAAAGTCCAGTACAGTCAGTGCAAGTTTTGCAGACCTGCACTACAGTGCCAGAGGGGGAAGAGGGGGGGTTGTTTGGGGCTGAGTAGTCTATCACAGACCTACGGAGCTCGTATTCCATGCATGCTGATCCGAGAGCACTGGCTTCAAACAGCACAGAACTACTACTTGCTCATGCAGGTTTCACACCAAGGGGCATTTCTGGGTTTTCTAAATTATTTTGTATGTTAAAAGTACTGATCAGAATTGCCTTGCATTCATCATTCCCAGTCAGGCTCCTGACTGAATCAAACTGCATGAAGATTTACCTGACTGTAGTTATGTGTGTAGTCTTCTCAAACTCCGGATCAATTGCATAACATCATTAGCTACATGAGACAGCTGCTGATGAACTAACTGGTGAGACAAACCAGGCTAAGAACTCAGGCAGCTTCTACTCTCCGCCTAGCAAAGCCCAGTGGAATAATGGTTGCAACACTGTAAATAAATCCAGTGACACCGCAGCTTACATTTCAAATGCAAAAATTGGATGAAGCAGCCTAATATCAAGCCTATACGTCTTCACATGACAAACAGAAAAATGATCGCTTGCTTGTGAAAGAGCAGCTCATAGCTCTGGACAAAACCAAGGAAAACCAGAGATTAAAAACTCCAGGCTGAACAGGCTCATGGTGGTTATGGTAACATAATTCTCTCTGGTTTGTTTTGGGCATTTTGTTTGTTTTTTGGTTTTGGTGTTTGGTTTTTTTTTTAAAGATACACTTCGCCACTTATTCTTCCGCACAGATTTACAGACATACCTATTTATAGGAAGTTTACATACTCTCAGGCTAAGTCTCATCTGACGCAACTTGTTCTTTTAGCAGCAGAGTTGCAAAGAAAGTTCCCTACATTCGTAGCTGTACCAGTCTGACAGTGCACCCTATTA